GTTTTTCTTTTTTGGCATAAAGTGTTATGATTCTTAAAAGTTAATTGAGATGTGGTAATCGTGATGCAAGGCTTATGTCACGTGAGTACCATCCGGCCAATCAGATTGCAAGAAACTAATTAGTCATGTGATGCTTATTTTTAGCTTTTAGATCAACTTGAAAACCTTCTTGGCAATCGTAACATAAAAAATGTTCTAAGTTTCACTTATGAAATAAACAAATTATTGAAACCAAATGGAAATTAAAAAAGATCAAATGTAAATATTTGCAATCAGTATCAACACACACGCATATGCAGAAATTAGTGTGACTGTCCGTATTCACAAACAGATTTTCAATCTTTACGTCCGAAAAGAAAAACAAAAAAAAAAGTAGATTGTTTGAACCAAAATTTGGAAGCTATGCGAGGCATAAGAACTGACATTAGGAAAACTATTGACTGGGATTACCAACAGGTTTTTCGTTGTCGATGCTATACAGGCAAAATATTGTGGTACGATTGATATTGTGTGAAATGCGGTCTTGTACTGTAGCACTAGCTAGTGGTCAATCATTAACAAAATGTCTTCTTCTCATTTGAAATTAATTGTTCTATCTGTTGTGCTATGAACTTATAAAACTAGATTTTTATTGTGTTAGTATAAAACAAAAAAATACGAAAGTCATTTCAAGTGATGAAATTTAAGTTCCCCATCGCATGTTAGCATGGATATATGGTCACTAAAAAAAAAATTTTAAAAAAATAGAAGGAACGAAGGCCCCCAGCCTGTGAAGTAGAAATGTAAACTTTTGACAACTGAAAAAGGAATTTTAACTTACCAAATGGTGAGGATGTGGTTAGAAATTCCTTTGAATCGGAAAACCATAAAAAAAAAAAATAGTAATGACTTGGAGGCAAGAAACCACAAAAAAATGCAAGTTTTACCACCAAATTTCGTTTTAATGCTTTCTCCCAAATGCACAAAGCTCCTAAAATTAAGGATTAAAATATGTTGTCATACATCATTATTAGCCATGATTAATGTTACATATACACCATACTTTCTTTTCATTCTAAAATGATTGTCCTCGAATTATTTATTTGTGGAGTAAAAAAACAAAATGTTGCAAGAAAAATGCAAGAATAAAAGATTACCGATCACTACAAGAAAATGGGCATTTCTGGACGCCGCAAAGCATCCTAATAAGCTGCTTTTCTGGACGCTTAGTGATTTAGGACGCATACAAATACGTCCTGTAGGTGGTCGTCCTAAAAATTATTTGGGACACATAAAACCGTCCGGTCCCCTTAAGCGTCCCATCAAGCGTTTTTCAAATTTACCGGTCAACTACTGTTTTGGGATGGTTTTAAGTGACTTCACTATAAATTTCCTAATAAGCGTCTCAATAGCATGATCTGATGGAAGGTTTTTAAACGTCCCAAAAAATTGTTTAATGGGATGCTTTTATGTGTCCCAGTAAAGCCTACATAAATAAGAAAAATAGAAATAAATCTAATTTATTAGTAATTCACCTTACATGAATAAACAGCAGGGATGATCACAAGTTCAAAACGGTCAAAATACACTGTAAAACTCAAACATTTCACGTTACAAAGTAACTAAAACTATACATAGAATGAAGTCAATATTCTTACTCAATGCCAATAATCTAATATACAAAAGATGTAAGCTTCTATCTAACTACAAAGTATATGGCCACCATAACTTCAGCAGGTTCATGAAAATGAGCTGCAACAACACATCAAAAGGTTTAAGAGTCACCAAGTCATCAACACTAGAAAACAGATCCAGAAAAAGTTCACAGAGTCACAAAATCATCAACATAAAGTTTATAACAAAAGGATAAGGGTACCTCCCGATCGCCAACACTTCAAGTGATAAAAGTTTAAAGAATACAAAAAAGAATAAGGGTACCTCTAGATCACCAACACTTCAAGTGAATAAAAGTTTAACTTACTCATCATTAACAGTCACCTACAACTGAAACAACTAGTAGTAATTAAAGATATAAATGTACATGAATATGTTAAAAAGGAGCTGAACATAAGAAACGGAACTAAGATGACTGGATATCAAAGACAAACACTAAGATGTACTTAAACCACAAAGAAATAAATTCTACCGACCCAAATATAATTCACAAAGGCCCTTGTGAATTCAACAATGGTTTCACTCGATGCATTCACAATAAAGGATTAAACTCACACAAGTTTCCGTAAACTAAAACCTTTGATGAACATCTTAGTTCAAGACAATTCAAATACTAATAAGTATTTTAGGTAATAACCTCACCTTGCAAAAGCAACACAAAAACTCATCAAATGCTTGAGGTATAGAAACTGTTGGTCTAAAGTTACCATGTTCAAAGCATATTTCTTTTTATCAAACCGAGTATCTGGTTTGCAAGGAATCCAGACCACTGATGATCACAACAGCAATGACTTAAGGTCTACTTTCATAAATAATTAACAATCGGGAACAAAAAAAAATGTCAAGCATGATTATCATTGCATCTAAGGGAATTAAACGCTGAAGCCCATCATGTCTAAACAGGGTTAATCAAACTTCATACAATCAGGAGTGCAAGGAACATAGTAGATACTGAGATTATAATCAAGAAGCTAAACAATATGCCGCAACACAAAGCAACTTTGGCTTAAGCATCAATAACAAAATAGTCCATACAAACAATTGGACATACTTCACTTAGAAAAGAACAGTAATTTGTCCCATGTATGTAGACTGAAATCACTCTCCAAAAAGGAAGGGGGAGGAGGGAATAAAACTTTAAAATAGTACTCATGTTACCAACAAATATAGACCGAAAATCAACTCCTTCCTTGTTTGCTTGAGAAGCAGCTACACTTGCAGGATCTGTCAATGCGTGAAAAAAATGTTGTTCATCAATATCAAAAAACATATGACTGCAACCAAGAAGGAAACCTTAGCAAACATGGGAAAAAGATGAATTGACCTTGAGCAGTGACACTCCTTCTTCTATCTCCTTTTATCGCTTCTTCATCTCATCTAACCCCTGTGAATTTAGTCAATTCAAACACTATTCAGATCCATTGAATAATCCCAGAAAAAAACGAGAGAGATAGATAAAAAGGCTAAAGAGTGTAGCTCCTTAACGGCGTCGTCTTCATAGACGCTGGTCATGTCCGCATTAACCCCGTTCATCTCACCTCGTCGGGAATTTTACTGCCGCACACCTTATGCTCCTCTTCATCCATCTTGTTTTAATGTCAGATTCAAATCTCGATTCAGAATCTAACAAGATCCGAAAGTAGCAGTTTCCATGAGTGATTAGACTCGATTCAAAACTCGGAGAATTTTTCGCATATATGGGTCTGAAAACCCTACTTCTGGACACAAAAGGCCACATGAAGGCTGCTGTGGACGCAAATACACATTCTGCAAAATAGATATGCAGTTTTCAAACAAAACCGCATGCAAAGAATGCAGAAATACAAAATAACCGCATCAACACATTGCGGCAGTAAATATATCCGTATACAAAGAATGCGGTTTTGCTAAACCACATACCGCCGACATGGTTTTCTTTGAAACATTAATTAAAATGAAATTATTAATTACGGTTAACTCTACTAAATCTGAATTAATAAATAAACCGCATACGAGATATGCGGAAATATATAACTGCAATACTCGGTTGCGGTTTTCTGCATTATCGCGATTTTGTAATGCGGATTTAAATATTTGATGTTACACAATTTTCAATATAGATTTATTAAATTTGTGAGAAAAATTATAAATAATAAAATGTAATTAATTATTTTGCGAACGAAAATATTTTACTACTATATATCATAATATTTTTTGCACATTTCAGTGCATAAATTGATTATTGCGATTATAAATGTTAAAACAAAATTGATATAAAAATTTAAGAATTAAATTTAAAGGATAATAAATATTTAAAACCATAAAATATTCAGGATACATGAAAAAAAAATGAGAGTTACAAAAAATGGACCCTCTAAATATATTAAATTCAAGAAAAAATAATTGATCTAAACCCAGAAAAAACGAAAAATTAGTAAGTTTTCTTAAAATGATGATAATTTATTATTTGTTGACATTAAACTTGATAGAAGGTAAAATAAGTTTTAGAAATTATTTAATCTTGACGCCTCCACGCCTACCCTCGGCCTCTATGGCCATTAACCACAAGCCGTGACTCCCAGAGAGTTGCCAAAAACATTTGCGAGCTTCTTTCAGAGGCATCCAACCTTGTGAAAGGACAAAATTCACTGATAAGGGAAATTAAGTTTGTAAATGCTACTGCAACTCTGGAGTTTGAAGATGACAAATTTGAAAAACTTATAGCCCCTCACCAGCTATGTCTTGTTGGATGTTCTCTTATGGTCGACCTAAAATGGAGGACATACACGCTGAGGTTAAGAAGATTGGCTTCAAGGGAAGTTACACTTCGGGCCTTATGAACCATAGGCACATCTTGATTCGATTTGAGCAAGAGGAAGACTATCAAAGATGTTGGATTAGAATGTTTTGGAACATATTCGCTTTTTCGAGGGGGATATTGAAATGGAGGCCTACTTTTCGCTTTGAGGAAGATCCCCTGGGGGTGCCAATTTGGGTGTCGCTATATGATTTGCCTATAGAATACTTGAACCGGAGGTTATCTGTTCCATGGCGACGGCAATTGAACAACCTTTGAAGGTTGATACACCGACAATGAACATGACGAGACCCTCAGTTGCAGGTTTTTGTGTTGAGGTGGATCTCACAAAAGATCACCCAAAGTCAGTTAAGATCGGCAAGAGAGGTAAAAAACATGAGCAGGTCTTTACCTATGAAAATGTCCCCTCTTACTGTTCAAAATGCTGTAAAATTGGGCACAAAATGGAAAATTGCAGACAAGGAATGCCCTCTCCACAATTGAAACTGGATGATAATGAGAAGGCTCAAACCACGAAGAAGAAAGGCTCAAACTGGTTGATACACCGACAATGAACATGACGAGACCCTCAGTTGCAGGTTTTTGTGTTGAGGTGGATCTCACAAAAGATCACCCAAAGTCAGTTAAGATCGGCAAGAGAGGTAAAAAACATGAGCAGGTCTTTACCTATGAAAATGTCCCCTCTTACTGTTCAAAATGCTGTAAAATTGGGCACAAAATGGAAAATTGCAGACAAGGAATGCCCTCTCCACAATTGAAACTGGATGATAATGAGAAGGCTCAAACCACGAAGAAGAAAGGTGTGAAGATTAATCCGTCAAAAGTTAATTGGAAGTCGAAAAAGGAGGCGGCGAAGCCAAGTCTTGAGGTAGAAATCATTAAGACGCAGCCCCTTATTGTTTGAGCAGAAGAACAACAAGCATCGGAAACGCTAAGGGAGATACCGCAAACCCCAGCTATGGGAACCCTAATTACAGTACCCCTGGTTGCGGAAACCGTAATTGTGGAAGCCTTGGTTACGGAATCTGTTGCTGCGCGTACTGAGGGTTCATTTTCTGGTTTAACAGACAAGGAAAAGATTGTTGTTATTGTCGATGTTCCATCAGAGGTAATCCCAGTTACGAAGGTCTTCAATAGCTTTGCAGCCTTAGAGACAATTGATGAGGCTGCGACTGAAGTTGTTGATTCTGATGATGACGAACGTGGTGAAAATGTGTATATTGATAATCACCCACCTGTGCATCAAGGGCTGAATACTTTGACAGATGTAGATGACTTGAAGGTCCCTTTGCGATCGGAAATTGATCCTTTGGAAGTTGGTAGATCCGTTGATGATAGTGATGTTGGAAAAACCATTGAATCTGAGGCAATGGAGGATAGTGAGCCCGAATACTGGTCTGATGGAGATATAAGCGATGGCCATGGACAGGAGACGCTACAAGGGGAAGCTCTTGTTCATAATAAACGTGGTCGCAAATCAAAGGAGGAAAAAGCAAAATTGCAAGCTGGGTTGATCCCAAGAAGATCGACAAGGTTGCAATAGCAGGTCATAGTTTTTTTATAAATTTTTTCTATGATAAGCCAAATAATATTGAACATTAGAGGAATAAGAAATCAAGCGCCACAGCAGCGTTTGAGATCTTTGGTTCGCATTTACAGTGTTTCTTTTTTGATCATCTTGGATCCCATGGTGGATTCGGATCAGATTGTAAGTATAATGCGAGAACTGAAGTTTGATGCTGCCTTCTCTTCTAACTCTAGTGTGACGACGGCATGTCAAATTTGGCGCCGTTGGTGGGGAAGGCATAACCAATATCAAAACTAGATTATTTTTTTTATTAATTTAGATTTGTGTATATTTTTCTTTCTTTTATTAATTTTTATTTCATTTTATTTTATTTTATTTTTATTTTTAATTTTATTCTCCTTTCTTTCTTGTGTCAATATTTTTTGTAGGATTTTGGAGTTATCATGGAGAATTATAACTACGGATATGGAGAGACTCCTTACTATGGTTATGATTTTGAATACGGAGACTATCCTACATATCAAGAAGATCCGTAGTCTTAGAACAACTCATCTTCTGATCCTTACTATGGTTGTGATTATCAAGGGTATTCATTTGATGCTGGGTACAATTCTGGTTTTGAGAGCGCGTATATGACTCCTAGGATGTTATCATGTTTGGAGAGGATTGATAAATTGCTGGATGACATCGAGAAGAAAAATGCTTTGTATTTATTTCAAGAGAATTGTTACATCTCAAATGCATCAGTATATCAACCACCACCTCCTCAATCCACTCTAAGAGAGTTAGCAGCTCGTCAACCCACTCTAAGAGAGTTAGCAGCTCGTCAACCTACTCTGAGAGAGCTAGCAGCATTACAGTCATCACCTTGTGAACCCACTTTGAGAGACTTAGCATCTTCGTATCAGTAGCCACCTGGTCAACCTCAACTTACTGTTAGAGAAGCAGCTCTTCCAGATTTTCAAAGTGAAAAAGGCCAACAACTTATCGCAGAGGTCAACCAATATAGGATGAGTGTGGGGTTGCCGGAATATGATCCTATAGGAAATTTGCTTAAATTGAATAAGAATGAGAAGATTTCTGAAGATGATTCATTGGTCCAGTCTCCCCATCCACCATCTCAAACTGAATGTGAAGAATTAGAAGAGACCAAAGAGATTAACAGTCTAGATATTCCAAGTTCTCCTGATTCTTCTGGTATATACATAGTAGTTAAGCATGATTCGCTCATTCTGAGAGTTGGTGACAAGGATGTGGATCAAGTTGATTTTGATGAGAGTAACATTCCTATAGTTTCGAAAGAAGGGTTTGAAGTAGACACATGTGGTGAGGTTGTCCCTGGTATAAGAGATATTGAGGATGATGTGAAAAATGGTTCAATGAAAGACCAAGAAGAGGATCAATGGTACAAGATTGAATTTGAGAAAGAGGATGTTGTAGTGTTGGAGTATAAGTTTATATTTTCTCATGGAAAGGAGAACCACTACAAGAGATTCATTATTGCTGTTGAACATGGTTTCTTCTGCTATCGAGATGGGTACTCTGACTGATTGGCCATGGAGTCCGGCTGATGACTTTAAAGAAGCGCTTATTGCGAGGCAACCCAATTCTTTATTTTGTTTTATTTCTCTTTTTCTTTCATTAATAAGTTGATGGTTAAGTTTTTTGTTCCTGATTATCTGGAGGTCTTTGATTTCTGGATTTTCATGGTTTTTCTTAATCATCTGTGTTTAGGTTTAATTTTCTAATTTATTTCAAATTGCAATTAGGTTTGTTGGAAGGGCGAAACTCTGGTGTCCAATGGTGCTGAAAATGAAACATCCAAAATTCTAAAGAACTTGGTCGTGTGCTTGGATAGCAGTTGCAACAGTTTATTCAACAATTCCGGTCCTCTGTTTTGCATTCCCAAGGTTGTGTCACTTCTTTTCATTTCTTTTATTGATGTCTTTTCTTTTCTTTTCACTTGGTTGTCTTGTCTTTTGTGTTTTATATATTGAGGGCAATGTATGCTTTAAGTGTGGGGGAGAGGAATATTTGTGTTTTGTATTGTGTTTTGTTCTTTGAAATAAAAAAAAACCATAAAGAATGAAAAAAATTGAAAAAGCCAAAAAGACCTTTGATGAAGATGGCTTAATTATCTATAATATGTAAGAATTAGACTATTTTGAATTGTATTGTTTAACTTATGTATTTCTATATGTTGATTTGAATACCCTGCTTTATATGCACTTAGTCATGACTGGGGGATAAGCGTAAAGTAAGACGTAGTTGCATGAGTTTGATATATATATGCCATGAAAAGTTGTGTTTGATTCACTCATACTTATATGATTTCTATGTGGAACTCATCATGTTGTGAAGGAAAAGCAAGGGATTAACCTAATATCAGCCTTAAAAAATCTTATTGCTTTGACACTTTGTGTTAAGTAAGTTTGGGGAGGGGTGTTGGCGGATGCTTCTGAGGTTAGGTTATTTTAATCAGGGAGAAAAGGAAGAGCATTCAATGTTGATGCTAGCCCATTGAGAGGTGAGGAATTGGCAACCTGAGCAGAGTCCTCAGGCCTGGTGAGGAAAAATAGATATGTAGACTGCCCTAAGTTGCTGAGCCCCTATGTAAAGGAGTGAAAAAATGCTCTGGGTAGTGGCCTGAGTTGGAAAGAGTCCTGAAGAAAAGTCGCATGGACCGAAGAATGGGTTACGAGGGGGAATAGGTTGTCTGCGAGATGAATCCTTCTACTTCATAGTATGTTTGGCGGTCTATTGCATTGAAATATGGTATGAAATGTGAGTCTGTTTTTAAAGTAAAATGTCATATTTGCAGTAGAGCTTTTGTTTTCTATGTTAAATGTAAAGAGATGTCCTTAAGAAACGGATCGTGCACACACACAAGCGTGGGGGCTAAAAGTGCATATAGTTTGCATTGTTAGATAGTACATATTAGAGGTAGTTGAGATCTTTGTGTTATATGATGATTGAATCTCTGAGGCCGCCTAATTAAATAATTTAATGTTTTTGTTTGTTTTAATTTTTGGGAATGCTTAAGGACAAGCAATAATTCAAGTTTGGGGGTATTTGATATGCTTATATTTTACCTATTTATTATATCCCTAATTTGTGATTTTTGCAATAAATTTTGTGTAAAAATATGCTATTTATATAATTTTATCTTTATTTGTAGGTTTTGTACTCAAACGGAACATGATGTCCGGTGGATATTTCTGCAACATGATGTACATGGCAGTAAGGATACCCTGATTTCGATCAGAGAAAATACAGGTCTTCCTATCCTGTAGAACAAAATTTTTCAAATACTTCAAGAACCATTTCCAGCTGTGTATGGTCTCTTCGTCCACAAGAGCAAACGTGATGGGAACAATTGTGCCATTTGCGCACTTCACGCATACCACAATTAGTTTTCCTTTGCAGGATCCTCGAAGGTGGGTGGCATCGATGGTTATTACTGGCTAGCAAGCATGAAATAATTGTATAGATGGCGCAAATGCCCAGAAAACAAACCTAATACAAACCTTTGCGAGCTTCCTGAATTTTTCTTAAACTTGAATCGCACACAGGTGTCCGGGTTTGACATGACCAATGCATCAAGGAAGCTGGGCAGTTGTTGAAAATTACTTTCCCATGTACTATACACAGCCTCAAGTGCTTTTCTTCTACCATGCCATGGCTTCTTGTAGCTACATTCAACTTGGTACCTCTTCAAAACTTCTATTTGAATTTGGGCAACTGCAAAATCTGGATGTTTTCGCACATTTTGGGCAACCAGTCTAGCAATCATAGAAGACGTCACATTTCGGGACTCGTTTCTCTTTTTTGCCCCAAGACAGTTGTGGGAATTGGACCATACCACCATTTTCTAAGTACCAGTGGCCTTCTGTAGACGTGAAGATGCTTTTTCGGATATTTGGGCCCACAGGCCTCGCATTCGACATACCATCTTCGTTTAGAGCTAGTTTTCACCTGGAAAGTCCGACCATGTCGCAAGTTTCATTCTCCCACTGCCGCCTGTGCCCTAAGCTTGTTGGTGAAATGTACATCAAGGTCAACGGTCGTTGGGTTGACGTCTCACATTTTTATCTCATCAGAATCTACTTCCTTTAAAGTCTTGTCCCATCAACTGATGTCGTCGAAAACATATGGTACTGAAGAGGATGAATCAAAATCAGTGTCGTCATCTGAGTCCTCATCCGATAGGACGTACTCATTATAATTGCTTTCGACACCCCCGCCATCTTCATCTTCATCTTCATCTTCATCTCCATCTTCATTGTCTTCAACTGTTCTACCACCACTAGTGCCGGCACCAATATCCTGGCCAGATGTACTTGCATAAACATGGCCTATTCTTTTGACATTTTCAGGGTACAATTCCGGTCATTTATCAGCACAAGGATAAAAGAACCATACAGTATTATCATAATTAATGCGCACACGAGACCTTTTCCCTGACCTCTCCGTCCATACCAAAGAACAATCAATATACAGCCTTTCTCTATCAACTTCCATCACACCACATACCTTATCAACAAGTTCCAAGAAATCTAACATACGATCAATGATAAGATAATCGTCCGGCGCATCCCGTTGTACCGTGATAGTCCCATTAGGTTCAGTTGTATAACTAGCATTCCAGTATACTTTTAGATGAACTGTCTCCGTGAAATACATTTATGGTCTGCAAAATCAATTCCTACGAAATCAGAACACTAGAATACATTTTTGAATTTTAGTTTTGCCGAAATAGTATTTACCCCCTTTACAGATTTAATAATTTCAAAATAACAACAATACGCCTGAATTTAAAAATTAAGTTCTACACTAAAAATCTTTTTAAAACTCAAACTGGGAATTATAAACTTTTTCATAAACCAATATACAATAAATTTCAAGAATCATCTAATTTAACAAGAGCACACACAATTAAGGAGTTGGTATTTTACAAATTTTACAATCAAAGAATTTAAATTAATATTAAATATAAACCTTATGGCCGAATTACATAATTTATTCTTATGCTAAAAATATTAAAAAATTCAATATCATTATTATAATTTTATTTTATTTTACAGAAATCGATATATAATAATTTACAAAGCTCATCTAATTTAACATTCTATTAACTAATATTTCTTTCAATTTACTTTATCAGCCTAATTAAAAATCCACCGTTAATTGAGTAAATCACAATTATTTATTATCTAATAATAATGCGTAAATCATCCTATGCTCACAATTAGGCATAAAAAAGTACATGTTTTCTATAACGAAAAAAACCTTACCTGAATGTTGAACCTTTGGATTTTAAATAGGCTTCAGGACTCAAATCAATCTTCTTTAACATCGGAGCAACTTCTCAATTTGAAGGAAATGAGAGCTTTCCTGGATTCAGCCAAGTCCTCCACAGTGAAACTTAAAATCGGAGCTCAATAGAATGAAAGAAGTTTGGGAAGAAATGCTGTTATTTTTCTTTGTTTGGTATGTGAATCTTAAATTTCCGCGGGTACAAAACGCGAATATATTCAAGACTTATCCTCAAAATACACGTGGAGCCGAATGAGTTATTAAGGAGATTTTTTGGATATTTTCGCGTTTTCAAAGTGCTAAAATCATTTTTCGCGTTTTCAAAACGCTAAACTTTTTTTTTCGCGTTTTCAAAACGCTAAATTGTTATTTTCAACCCGCTAAATTGTCTAAAATTAAAAAAGATATTTATTTAAAATTTATAGCTTTTCACGTTTTTAAAACGCGAAAGTTTTGTTCACATTTCTGAAACGCGAATTAAAGTATCCGCGTTCTCAAAACGCTATTTTTTGTTTTCCTTTTTTAATTCAATTTTTTTTCTTTCTTTCTTCCCGGATGAATTTGGGGAGAAAATAATTAAAAGCATTCGCGTTTCACAAACGTGAATTTTTAATGAAATTTTTTTGTTTCGCGTTTTGAAAGCACGAGAACATTAGAGTTGTCCACTTTTTAAACCCTACACATTGTTTTTTCCACGAATTTGGGTCTGACTCACCCTAAAGTCAAGCACCCGTATATGAGGGTGGTAATCAAATAGACAACACAAAAGACACTAAAGAATAAAGATGAAAGATTTATGAACTTTATTGTTAGAAACTTGAATCTAACAATAATGGGAGAATCACAAGATTTGGATGTGTTCTAATCGTGTTAGACACTATCCTTAACACAATATTTGCCCCCTCCATGTTGCAATACCGGGTTTGTTTGGCAATTTGCCTCTAGGACATAAAGAACACAAGAACATGCAACTTGCAATTATTGAATGTTCTCAAGAATTTAAGAAGGCAAAAGTTAGAATGAAATCTTGCACTAGTTCACCTATTCATAGGCAACACTTGCAGAAACAAAGGATACAAATTAAGTACACAACCCTTGGCCTGTAGGAAATAAAAACAATACAAGTAAAGGGTTGCCAACTTAATTATTATCCTTAAGTTCAAAATTAATTATTTTATTTTACAAACTAAAATTTCCAACATTCCCCCACTTAGTTTGTAATATAAAATAATTA